CCTGAAGTCAACAGGTCAGAGGTTTTCAGACGTCATTTCACCCCGTTGACACGCAGCGGATAACCAGCGCAGCCGTTCCGCAACAGACACGCATCCAGTGGAATTCCGGCGTCAGTGTGCAAACTTGATTGACACAACGTGAAGTTATATTTATTTTAGAGGTGCAACAATGTCAGACAAACAAAACAGACTTTTCCCCACTGTCTCTCTCTGTTGTTGCTCTGCCTGCTGTGGCTCTCACTTGTTTTTCGGATGCAGATAGTAGCAAAATAAAATGAAAAAATTGCCCCAAAGTACTAACCGACAATACTCAGCCAGTTGCCAACAGTTGACATATTCGTCCAGTCCCCCAACCCTGTCACAAATGCACACATTGTGTCCTACCACAGTCTGCTAGGTGGCACCATAGAATTTATAAATAACGGACGTAGCCAATGTGAAGTCACCCATTGGTTTGTGGGCTTCTGTTTTGAAACCTCGAGTTTGACATTTTCGCCGTCGCCATCTTGGATTTTTGGAGCCAAAGGTGACAACCAGTATTTGGATGAGAGGTTGGAGCTGTGGAAGAGCGAGGGGTGGATCTGACTTGTAGACTGTGGTGACCCCTTGCAAACAGCCTGTCACTCAAAGTGAACACGCCCTTAATTATGTATAACTTCAAGCCTTAAAAAAATGTGAACGAGTGAGTTATCTAAAAATTCAACCCCCGTACAGTTGACACGAAGAGGGAAATTAGCTATAGAGACCAAAACAGTTTTTCGTACCAGGCTGTGAACATGTTTATTTCTGCTGTAAAGTTGGGCATTTTACCATGAGGAGCCAGCCTCAAGTGGCCATTTGAGGAACTGCAGTTTTAGACACTTCTGCGTTAGCTCCATTTTTCAGTTCTGGAGGTTGCAGCTTGGGTGGTTTTACTTTGACACCACCACTCAGAACAGCTGAGTGGGGGGATCAATTTGAAATCACTTGATTAAACCCACTCATGGCTGTCAACTCACTCCATATTTCCTGTCATGCTGTGGCAGTGAAAGTGTCTTAGTGTGTAGACGAGTGTGTGCAACAGTGAGTACATAAAACCAGCTGCGAGAGACTGAGACACTGAGTCAATGCAAAGCAAAGTGTGTGTGATCCTGTGACTATGAGCAAATACATGGAAGTGTTAGCAGCTCTATATATACAGTGTATATGTTTATGTGTGAATTATATGTGTGTGTGTGCAGAAGGCAGGAGTCTGTAATTTTGAAGACAAGCCTGACAGCAGCTCTGCCCTCGGCGCTGTTAGTTGTTTAGACGTCACAAGTAAAATTAGCATGGTGGCAGCACTGCTGTGGTGGTGAGAGAAATATGTTGAGTGGGCGGTTGCACACACACAGACACATACACACACAGTCACAGTCACAATGTGCTATATTACACAGTTTTGGCAAATTTCTGTTTTCCATTATGCCGGTGTGATGTAATTTAATTGCCAATGTGATGCAATTTTTAATGACAGCCTCCTTTGCGGTGCACAGATGAAAATAAGCTTTAGGCTGTATCTGCTGCAGTAGTTTTGTGATTTTAAAAAAATCTAGAATAACGGCATAAATGAAATTACACACGTGCCCTTCTGTTCACATACATGGACACGCAGGAAAACACACACAGGGCTGCTGATTGAAGCGGTGGGTGGGATATTGGCTCCAGCGTCTGGTTAATTGCCATTAAGTTGTGTATTAATGAGGTTGTAAAGGACCACAGTGGACTAACTGCTTAACAAGATGCTATTTATACTGTCATTACTTATTAAACCTCTTAATAGATCATCATCAGTCTGCTTCAATTAAAGGCCTGACTCAGTGGTAGTGCCACGGGCGTCGGAAAAGTCACGGACAAGGTTTTTGTTTGGCTGTTTTTCTTTTAGTGCTTCTCTGCGGCGTTTGAATCGCCTCCATCAGAGTAAATTGCAAAGCCAGTGAACTCCATCACTGCTCATTTAAGAACATTTTTTACATTGATGAGTAGCTTTTTGCTCTCTAGTAAGTAACTGATTCCCTGCTGGCCCATGATGGCTGATGTTACAGTGTTTTTATTGTAAACCCTCTGTGCAAAACAAATTTCTCCATTGGGACAATAAAGTTCCTTTGGAGTGAATTTAAACGCACGCTGTGAACATGAAGTCTGATCTACAGCCAGAGACCTGTTCTTCATTTTCTCCCACTTCAAATCAACATTTACACTTGTGGATGCACATTCTTGACAAATCAAACGCAGATTTGTCTGATGTTCTGCTCCAGATGAGCAAATACTTTGTCTTAACTGTGTCACAAGCTGTGCTAATTTGTCTACTAGAAAAATGTTCATGTTTTCTCCTGTGGTCCTTAAAAGAACACTTTTTTATGCCTTCATGCCAGCCATACATTATGTTTTTGGGTTGTCGGTCCGTCAGTCCATCCCATTCTCATGAACATGATATCTGAAGAACACCTTGAGGGAATTTCCTCTAATTTGGCACAAACATCCACTTGGACTCAATAATAGATTTTGGTGTTCAAAGGTCATGGTCACTGTGACCTTGTCTGTCTCATTTTTTTGGAACGGGATATCTCAAGAACACTTTGAGGGATTTTATTTTTCAGATTTGACACAAATGTCCACTTGGAGTCAGCAATGAACTAATTAGAATTTGGTAATCAAAGGTCAAGGTCACTGTGACCTTGTGTCTGTGTCATTCTTGTGAACGCAATATCTCAAAAAGGCCTGCAGGGAGTTGCCTCAAATTTGGCACGAACGTTCACTTGTACTCAACAATGAACTGATTAGAATTTGGTGGTCACAGGTCAAGGTTACTGTGACTTCACAAAACATGTTTCTGGCATTACCTAAGAATTCATGTGCTAATTACAACAACATTTCACACAAATGTCTAAAATGATCTAATGTTGATGTGAAGACATTTTATATCCAAATCTTCAAAGGTCAATTTCACTGTGACATCATAACGCTTTTCATTTGATACTCAAAATCGTATCTCAGGAACAGAAGGGGAAACATGGTCAGGTACTGAATTGGTGATACAATCTTGGGTGCTCACTTTGAAACTGTGCTGATCGTATAGATCTTCTGTGCTGCCGGGGGGAAGATGTGAGTAAAGCATCCGTGTTTTCACAGACATGGGTGTAAACTGTAAGTGCAACTTAACTGGTTTGCGGAGGCATATAATTGCAAGGTGGTAATTCTAGTTTCCTTTATTTGGCACAAGAAAAATATACAACACAGGGAATAGATATGCACAAGCAAAGGATGGAATTCAATCAACAATGGTGGAAATGATGCTTAAATGCAATTGAACACAAAGAGTAAACAATAGAAGTACCATTATACTGAAAATCAAGAGACACAAAAGACTTCTTAAACAAAAAGGCATAAAACAAAAAGGAGAAACAATCAGGTAAACAGAGGACGAGCACAAACAGCATGGTAAGAGACTTTAAAAGAGCAAGAACAGAAATATAGATGTGTAATTTTTTTTTAGCCTTTCTATTCAAGTTTAACATGTGTTTTAGCAGCTTGAGGATGAGCATGGTGAAAGAGGGTGGTGCTGTGGTAAGCATTGTCACCTCACAGCAAGGGGGATCCTGGTTTGAACCAGAGTCCTGCACGGGTCCAGTTTTCAAGATCTGCCTCGACCTGACCCGGCGACGTACAAACCCGCACCCGAACCGCAAACCCGCGCATCAGGCCAATTAGTACCGCAACCCAGTCCGACCCGTTGAAACACAACCCGCAGCCCGACCCGTAATCCGGATTTAAAGTAATCATTTTGGGTCATATTGGCTGAATATTGAACAGCATATCGCCACAGTTAAGGTGCCAGTGAGTAAACAACGACCTGAATGAAGCAGCTCTCACAATAAAAACCTGACTTCAGCTCCATCATCAACCCTCTGTGTTCTTCTCCCATACGAGTGTAAAAGCACTCGTTTGTTACGTTTAATGCTTTTAAACTTTTAATCTATGTAAAGGAACTTTACATGTGTAATAATAGACTTACTTTCTGTCCAGAGCGACGTTCAGCAGTTACAAGCCGTCACGTGTTTTTAGAATCCATCGAGGTGAGAATTAATCCATCAGAAACATTATAAAGTGATAGTTGTACGTTTTATCCACTTATTTCTCAAATACCTAAATAAATATTTACTCTTTTGAAAGCGGCGCTTGTTAGATGGTGGCAGCCATGTTGATTCTGTCGTCCAATCACAAATTGTGTTATTAGATGGTGAAACGCGTATAAACAGATGAAACAATGAACGTTGCGAAATAGCGGAGGCGATCCTCAGAGAGTAAATAATGACCAAGATAGTTATCTGTAGTTTACCGAACTAGATCCGACCCGCATGTTATTTTTTCTACCCAGATCCGAACCTGGGAAAAAATGTTTTTTTACCCGCGGGTACCCAACCTAGTGCAGGACTCTGGTTTGAACCCAGGGCGGGGAGCCCTTCCGTGTGGAGTCTTCATGTTCTCCCCATGTCAGCGTGGGTTTTCTCCAGGTGCTCCGGCTTCCTCCCACAGTCCAAAGACATGCAGGTTAATTGGTGACTCTAAATTGGCCGTAGGTGTGAATGTGAGTGTGAATGGTTGTCTGTCTCTACGTGTCAGCCCTGTGATAGTCTGGCGACCTGTCCAGGGTGTACCCTGCCTCTCACCCACTGTCAGCTGGGATAGGCTCCAGCCCCCCTGCGACCCTCAAGAGGATAAGAGGTTATGGAAAATGAATGATAGATAGTGAAAGAGGGAGTACAGCCTTTCCACTTTCAAGTATGAATATATGTTATATACAGTATTTCAAATGTTTGCATCCAAGTTGTCCATAAAATATAACTGTAAATAAATTACAGTATATAATCCGTTTTAATGACAACCAGTTACTCTAAAGCACTCTCATGGAGTTTTATATGAAAAATATATTTGTAAGTCTGACACACTGATCATGGTCATCTTTTTTTTTATTTCCACAGGTCAGGTGACGTCGTGGTCCAGGTCATCCAAGAACACGGGCACCAGCAGCACATGGGTCCGCCACCAGCACAAGAAACCATCAGAGGTAAATAAATGTGGCAGTTAGCTTCAGTGACTCAGACATATACAGTACAAAAAATATGTGTTTAATGAAACACAGACTCTGTTTTGGCCATTACACACTCACAGTGTTGCTCCACTTCAGTTGCTGTCTGTTATTTGTTGTGGCTTTGCTGAATTGTCGTAAATGGTCAGATTCCAATATTATGTCTGGTTGTTGGGGCTGCTGAACACTGACATGATCTGCAGCTTTTATGACCCAGTAGCTAATGTAAGCCCTTAAGTCGGGGCTGTGTATGGTTTCTGGACAAGCTCAGGTGGCAGAGTTGTTACTGAGAGCTGATTGTTGTAATGCTGAGCTACAAAACCCTGCAAACCACAACTTATGCAAACGCAAGCTCATTCTCCTGTCAAAGAATGCATAAATATATGGGACAAAATGAAGTTACTCAAGGGGCAAATTAGATCAACAGAGACCATTTGTGGCAAAAGTACCATGCCGTACACCAGTGATACTCAACTTCTGGCCCGTGGGCCAAATCTGGCCCAACATAGGGTGCTGGGTGGCCCACCAACCACAGTGAAAATACTCTGATTCACACTGGGATTTTTTTGGTACGTGGATTGTAAATAGGGTGCAGAGGTGTATAACAAGCACCAAAATACAGCTTGTTTATCCAAATAAAAGTGCCAGGGGAGGATACCCTTGACTTCCCAGTGGAGGTCTAAGCCCTGACTGTCTTATGAACGCCCCTGCATACACCTGATCTGTGCAGGACTTCTGCGACTGGATTTACCTCTTAGCCAAGACAGGTGAGGACACCAAACATGGCAAAGTTGAAAACAGGCATTTTTTTTATTATATAGACTGATAAATGTAAATAAAAGTGGCCCCCAGTCAAAGCATGTTTAGTATCCCTGCTGTGCACCATTCATCCTACTTAGATTTAAGGTAGCGAAAGCCTTGATCCAGCCACTGCAGCTATATATCAGTTCTTAACTGGAGCAAACACTTGTAGCCAATGTAAATACAGCCATCTCCGTCACCACAGCTAAATCAACCAGGCGCATGGATGGCACAGACTGGTTGGCTAAAATACCAGGTTGTTACATCCATATGGTCACGACAAACGATCCCAAGGGCTCTCAAATGACCACCCTGAGGAGGAAACTGGCATAATCCAGTTTGAAAATGGTGCACTGAACCAGCTGTGGCGGTGCTTTGCCTGCCACAATCACACATTCCTCCCACTGTCAGTGAAGTGGGTTCAAATCTGTTTAAGGAGAACTTGCTGTTTGAAGAGTTTCATTCCAGAAATAACTATCTACCATTTGGAGCAAATTACATCTACTCTTAAAAATTAGCAACGAGATTTTTTCTGAATAAAGGAGAGGAGGTAACAGCCTGTGATGGCACTTCTCAAATGCTGAAGATGTTCGATGGAGCATTTAAAACAAAGATCTTTTACAAAATGAATTTTAGAGGGTAATTTGCTCTCGCCTCCAAATCTGTCCTCCAAAAAATGTGAAAAACCGCCTAAAGTTTAAGAGCACAAATGTTTCTTTTTTGCAACTTTTGAAAGGAGGATGAATAGAGCAAAATGGCATGCATGCCCCCAAACCACCCTGAAGTACAAGTCATCAGCAGAGCATCTGTCATGCCTGTGCATTTGAAGCTTCCTCCCCCTCAGCTCCATCCAGTTAACCACAGGCTGTTGGAAGGTCCTGTCAGCAATCAGTCTCTCAGTAATTACTACTGTAGCTCTCTGCTCTGACCCGGGCCTCAGCTGAAGAGCCAGGGGCCACGTTCCCTTTCATAACGCTGCCTTCTCGCCTTGCTGCAGGGCACGCTGCTCTTTCGTAAAAAGGATGATGTTTTGCTGTCGTTTTCCTGCTTTTTTGGTAGCAGTGAGTGACAGGAAAGGTTGAGCAAAGAGAAAGGGGCGGGTGACATCTGTCAAAGGTTCAGCGCAAAGTTTTGAAGTCAAGAATGTGCATCTAAGCTGATGTCAGAAAAGCTTAACTTGTTGAGTATGAAAAGTGTGTTGGCATTTGTCCTGGAGCTGCTGGGGAGATATTGACACATCGTACTGTTCTCGGCGTCTAGTTTTTAGCGACTTGCACTTCTTCGGGGCTCTCTTACATTACTTGTTGATTCCTTTTTATTTGTTGATGTGTTGTCCCTGTTTTGCTGTTTGTGCCCCTCAGTCGTGGAAAGGAATGACATGCCGCTGGTATTCCAGCTGGCGCACATACTGTACAGAAATTCAATTCAAGAATTATATATGGAATGGCAATGTTATTAAATTACTGCTGATATAACGGTGTGACTCATTATGTCATTTGTCGTCTGTTCTTTATCTAAGGCAAGAGTGTTTATCTGCAGTACATTTACCATGCCTTATCCTGGAAGCCAATCATCATACAACAAATACACTAGCTGCTCTCTCAAGCTTTCTTTTTTCTTTCTTCACATAACTACTTTGCCAACTCTTTTCCAACAACAGCAGCTAGCATTAGCTCCAAAAGTCACCAAAAGTTGCCAGATGACGTCATTTTCATACAGCCGATGTCATTTCAGCATTAAAACCTCGCTGAAATAGATTCAACAGAAAAATCCTCAACAAAGCGTCTCTCTCCTCCTGCCCATTCTGTCCCACACCTACTGAACGGCGCAAGAGGACAGACCCTGTAGTGATGGTGGTGGAGCCGTTGACTGTGATTACCCTGAGCAGCATGCATTGGAATGAATTACAATATAGTATGTTTTTCTCCTCTCCCTGATGGTCTGCTAGTCGCTAGTTGCTTCTTGAAAAAAGTTGAAAAGTTGCTAAATGTAACAAGAAAGTCGCCAAGTTGGCAGCACTGCAGACAACTGCGTGCAGCACCATGAGAGCCTTTGAGGACAGACTGTTCAAAACTGTGTGGCCTTAGTTCTTCTTGTACGATTTAACTCTCCATTAGACGTGCTGGGTGACACATCGTACAGTAAGACCGAGCTCATTTGAAGCACACTTTACTAAACTAAGCCAAGAAACCATTCGACTACATGTGTAGTGAATGCTCTTAATCCATTTGTATGTTGATTGGTCAACTGCTCATATCTCTGAAGAGACTCTTCTTCTTTTGGGTTTATAATGTAGTGACGAAGAATTCTCTCAGCTCAAGTGACGTCCTTCAAAAACAACTGGTTGCATGTCAGCACTTCAAGCACAAGGTGCTGCTAAGTGCTGTCAGTGTCCTGAGGCAATGGCAAACACTTGTATGTTTTACAGGTCAAAGGTCATGACCCTGATTAAATGACATGTGTCTTTTACGAACATTACTTAAGCTGAAGCAATGTTGGAGGTCAAGTTCCCTAATTTTCACTTGTAATGAAGTCAACTCCTAAGTGTGTGACACTTTCTTTGCTCACCAGCCAAGTGCATCTGCATCTAAACGCCTCAACACACAGGGACTTTTACACAAGGCAGTTTCTGGCACTTACTTTTCGCATAGCCCTCCTTTACACACATACATATTCAGATAGTGCAGGGTCACCCATATTATGGAGGGTGGGGGATCCAGTGCCTTGCTGCAGCAGTGCCCACAAGGCAAACTGACACCTCTTCAGCTTCCAGTCAGGAATCTGCAGCAGGGATCCTCCAGTTCCCAAGCCAAGTCCCCACGGACTGAGCTACTTTTATTACTTTACAGACAATGGGCAGCAGCCGTAACACAAACAGAAAACAGACACTCTGGAAACCACAGCAGCTTTTAAAGATCGAGTAGTCTCAGCTTCTTTTTTTTTTTTTCCAAAACCTGAGTGTGATGTCGACTGTTTTTCTTTTTGACCTCACTAATTAAAAGGATGTAGAGTCTTTCTGTGTATCTAAGCAGTAGATCAATCAGGCTAATATAAATCAGAGGAGCAACAACCAACACCAAATGTCACATTTACATGTGGCATTTAGTGTAGAACTAGCTCATGAGCAGGAATAGACGTCCAAGTTTCATTGTTGTTAGCTGATGATGCTTATCAGTGCTTTGTCAGATCTGTGCTGATGGACTGATTTGCAGCGTTTTTACTCACACACACACACACACACACACACAGTCATCAATTCGTTATGCAGGTTTCATTGAAATACATGGCACATCTTGCAGTTTTTTAACACAAATGCTAGTGTGAGTTGGAACTTGGTATGGAGTATATTGGCTGGGTTTATGGAGTTTCTGGCAAGTGTTTGAGGATTGGACGTAAATTTTGTTTGTTGATGGTGGCAGCCGGGCATCACTGAAACTAAATGCTTTTTAAAATGATCAACAAAAAGTCACAGCAAGGTCAAAAGAGGGTGATATTTTTGAAGCAGTGAGAAATTCTCATCGGTGCAAACCCTGCTGGGAACAAAATTAAACAGTGGCTCACAATGCAGACAAGTTTATGGAATGATACTCACTCTTGGTTAAGGGAGGTGTGGCGAATGGTAAACACTATGGACTTGTAATGACAACGTAGCTGTTTTCTAAAAATGAGCCGTCTCTATTTGCGCCTTCGCGAGTCTTTCACTCCAGTTTTGACTTTTCTTAGAAGTGGTTTCGAGAGCTTTACTTGGCGGAAGGAGGACACTGTCAAATGCTTCCGTTTTTTTCTGTACAGTTGTTATTATCTCAGTTTAAATGAAGGCAGAGATTGAGGATTTTGAACATTTTGTAGACAAACAGGAAGTCATCATGACATACTGTACACACAGACAGCACTGTTTGGTCTTGTGGTTATTGGTTGGGGGCAGCGTCTGAGCATAAAAAACAAATGTTTTTATGCTTTCATGCAGCTGGCTTGGATAACAAACCTTCCTTTTTAAAAAAAAAAAAAAACATGTAATGTAGCTGCAGTGGTACTGAGTCACCAGTACAGTCAGAGCGAGGACTCTTTCCTTAAGCAGCTCTCGGCCTCATCCCTTCTGACAAAAGCAGAGCTCCCTTGTTCAGAGAAATCCCCCTGCTCTCCCCCAGGGGATTGTGTGACACTTGTCAAAACACTGC